CCCCTGGCATCGCCGCTGGCAGACAAAAAGGCCAAACTCCTTTTAAAGCACTTTTTTTTTTTCTTTTTTTTATTGATTTCATTGAAAACAGAACAAGAAAATGATCAGAGCCAAAAGACTGCTCCTTTAAAACTGTCAAAAACATTAACAGAAAAAAAAATAATAATAATAATAAACATGACGGCATTATGAATGTTCTAGAAGAGATGAACAAAAAAACCTGTTACTGCACTAATTACAGTATTTAAAGATATATGCAAAAAAAAAAAAATTAAGATAATGACCTGCCCAGCCACCACACAAAAGGTGATGGCAAATTTATTCACACTACAATACTAACAATTTAAAAAAAGTTTTGTGTTTTTTTCCTGCGTTTTTATACTAAAATCACTTTGTTCTTTTTATACAATTGATAGTTTATATTCACGTGGTGAGCAAAAATCACACCAGAATCAGCACCGTTTTGTTTTGTGGTTTCTTTTTGTTGTTGGTTTTTTTTTTTATTATTTTTTTGTGGTTTTCTTTTTTTCTTTTTAATGCTAGTCCCCAATGTTTCGGTAATGGTAAAAAATAAATCAGTTTTTTGAAACCTCATAGCGTGTGGCTTAAAAATTAATCGAAGGTGCCCAGCGTTGAGGAAAGTGATGGGAACAGACAAGCTGGTGGCATCTGGGTTCTTCTCGCCGTGACATGTCCTGTCCGCTGTTCGCCCCAGCCGGTAGGCGCGCGTCGAGGTTCTCTATAATATATATATCATTCGCTTTATTTTTAAAAAAAGAGAAACTGATTTTCGTAAGAAGTTAGTGTCTTGTACGATCCCCTTCAACCGTCCCTCTCTAAAACCACTAATGCGACGGGAGAGGGGAATCCTTCCACGGATGAACCGAACACTGAGACAGTAACACGGCCAAGTGGTGCCGACGAGAGCTGGTTTGGAACGGAGAAAGCCCGGGAGGGAGCAGGGTCTTAGGGGAAGCATCTCTGGCCGGCTCGGGAGAGAGCCAGGGACCAAAGGGGTTGTGAGGACTGTGGATTTCTTCTCCTTGGAAGAGAAAAAAGCCGGTGGATTTGGTAACAAGGAGGGTATTTGTTAGAAATGCCCTCTAGCTTCTAGGGAAAGGCCCCGCTGCAACGCCCTGCGAGATGTGGGAGAAATTCATGATTAAAAAAAAAAAACAAACAACTAAAAAAACAACCAAAAAACCAAACAAACCAACAAAAACCAACCAGCAGAACCTGCCCCGGGGCTGTGCCAGGCAAACCCAAACGCCAGCACCTCCCTCTCCCTCCCCCCTGGTTTTTAGAAAGAAAGTCCCATCAAGTATTCAAAGTTTATTACAAGTGAACTGGAGATGACTTGGCATGAGCGATCCATTCAATTAACAACAGGCGGAGGACGGGCGGCTCTCCCTCGGCTCTGACAACACTTAGCACATTAAGAGACAGAGGCCAGGACAGCTTGCATGGAAAAAAACCACAACAGCCACCCCTCCACACGCAACTGTGAAAACCAGCAGCTTTCCAGGACCAGGGAGGGGAGAACAACATCACGGAGGCGGGATTTGTTTTTAGTTATTCCTCAAGTAACAGTCGGTGGCACAGCCCTAATGTCACAAACCCTTGGCTTTCCTTGAGCGGGGGGGGTTTTGTGGATTTTTTTCGTTTGCTTTTTTTTTTTTTAATCCCTCTTTAAATGGAAATTCAGACAGTATGTGAATCTATAGGGTTAAAACAAGTCAGTCTCTGGGGAGCGGAGCCTCAAAAGGGGCCGGCTGCCGTGGCAGAGCTGGTGTCTGGGAGCCCATTTTCCTGCGTGTCCTGGGACAAGGTGCTCGCCTGCCGCTGGGCCAGCGCTGAGCTCGAGTGTTTGCACTTGGGTGAACCGCACTGACAGCTGAAGTATTTGCCTTTGATGTCCCAGAACCTGTCTCCGTAGTCAAAGCTGCGAGAGAGAGAGAGAGAGACGGGGTCACTGCAAAGCAGAAGCCTGCAGGAGCAAGAGGGACCGCGCAGCAGCGCAGGACACCGGGGTCAGCAATCCCGGGTGCTGCCACAATTTGGGTTTGTGCAAAGCTCCAGGGGATGGAGCGCGCTTGCGGGATCCCCAGAGACTCTGTGGACACGGCCAGAGAACCAAAGGGATGGAGTGAAGCAGCCTGGGAGCAGCGGAGCTCTCGTCCCTCTGCACTCCATCCTTCCCTGAGCGAGGCGGTGGCAGCCCCGGGGACAGCACCTACCCAATCTCTTCTCCAGCTTCTATATGCCTCGTGCTGAAGAAGGCGATCCTGGGAAAGCGGAGGTCCTGATGCGACATGAAGACTCGCACTGGGATGAGGTTTGGCTCGCAGAGGTGGTTTATGAAGCGGCTGATGTTGCCATAGAAACGAGCATCTATGCAGTACACCTCGCCATCCTAGAGGAGAAATGTTGCGTCTCTCATTAGATGAGGTTGGGTTTAGTATTATTACTTCTACTTGTTCAAAAAATCCCAAACGACCGAACTATCGGTCATCTCACTAAAACTCTGGAGAGCTTCACGAAGAACCACCACCAGGCAGAACACCCACTGTGGGTTTAAAAGGACTAAAGACACACAATTTTATATTCAACAGTACTCTGAAAATACAGTTTTCTGCAACGCCCTCTGCCCCCACAAGCCCAAAGACCTTTTAAAATGCCCCCGACACTGGCTGCACATCCGTTTTCCCCAGCCCTTTTCTGCTAGAGCACCAGTTCGGCACAGTGGGATCGATGTTTGGTGCAGACAAACACCTTACAGGTAAAAGCCACTGGATAGAGGAACAGGCATCTGTTCTGTTCTCTAATGGAACACGACAGCTAGGAAACACAAAGCCAGAGCCTCGAGAAAACACAGGTTTTTGCAGATAAAAGTGAAAGTGAGAACACTGAAATTCCCCTTCCAGAAAGCCCAGAGAGCAGTAATATTTTGTTTTCCTTGAAAATAAAAGAACGCCCCTCAGGGCTTTTTTATTCCAGCAGAGAATGACTGTGCAAAGCAGAGACTTTAATTACAGAAGCTAATTTCAGTTGCAAAGAGGCCAAAAGCAAAAGGATCCATTAGCAGTGCTCAAACTCCCTTTCGGGCAAGCACCTTGCAATCGTTAATGGATGAGCTGTGCCAGATCACACCACCCAGCTGGTACAGGAGCCCAGGGAAGATGTCCCAACCACCGGGGGAGGCATCACCCCACATGGTCCCATATCACACACTGTGTTACCAGCTCTAATTTCAATTATAAGTAATTCCCATCACATCCTGACTTGCATCCATGGAAATGCCATGGTTGGTGAGGACAACATCACCCACTACCGCATCTAGTGACCATCTGGGAAGATCTGAGCTCTCCAGCATGCAAGTCAAGATGTGTTTCTCAAGAAAGGAGCCCGCTGCCTTGGCCAACACAAGCAGTGTCCTCACTGTGAAGCTGCTGAGGAGAACGAGTCCCAAAGCAAACTGCTTCCCACCTCGCTACAAGGGTATTGGGAACACAAGAGTCACACGGTGGCAAGTAGAGAGGAAGAAGAGAAACCAGGAAACTGCTCTGGGCTGAGATGAGTCTCCTTCTCAAGAGTGGGAAGGCACCGGGGTTTCTTAGAAGGGAGGAAGCCTGGAGAAAGCCCTTCTTGCCTGCAGGCAGGCAGGGGTCACATGGATGCAGCAGCGTGCAGCCCCGACCGCCGCCGCTCCTCGATGGTGCACAGCAGGGCCAAGTGCGTCTGCAAGGACTGCAGAGGATGGGCCTGCGTGTGGGAAAGGAGCGGCTTCACACAAGCAGAAAGCAGCCACAGCAGCTAAAACTCAACCTCGTCTTTCCCAGAAATAGTGTGGTTTCTCCAGCTCTCCGGTACGGAGACAAGACAACTATCCCTTTAACCAGAGGAAGCCCAGAGAGCATCTGCTGTGCTACGTCTTCCTCCTGGCAACCCAGCAATGGCAGAAAGTTTTTGCTGTTCGCTCCCTTTCAGGCACGGGACGGGATGTGACTGCAGGACCTGGCATGCTGAATAATTCACCGTGCACATGTGACAACTGTGCATGGTGACATGATCAAAATCAGTGTCAACTCAAGGTATAGGGACATCAGAAATGACATCCCCACCATTGTCTTTCACTACAGCACAAGCCCATCCAGACCATTCCTTCGGGACACACCAGGCTGTCCCTGCCAGGGTTGGGGTTCACACCCTTCGTCATCTCCCATCCCTCAGGAGCCCACAGGAGCCGGCTGGCTCTGCCCCGCCCTGCTCCACCTATCCCGATGGGCTTCTTTTAACCATCACTCAAGGACCTGGTGCCTGCTTTTCTACGGAGGCAGTCTTTTTCCACTTTTCAGGGTTTCTTCAAAAAACCGAGGTGCTTGCACTTGGACTTAGGTGTCCCTCCTTGCTTCACTAAAGGCTTCGTAAGAGCAAACGCAGAGGTTCTCCCTCGAGGCAGCCAGCCATGGGCTAGCCCAAAGGCAAGGCAAGGCCCAGGTGGGCTCTTGCTCATAAATGTACAAACCAGGCTGCAGCCCCCGCTGCTTTTCAACTTCTTAATTACAGTTTGACCCCTCTGTTTTCAGACTGACTACAAGACTCCTTACTTGCCTCTTCTCAGTTGTTGAATGTGTGCTGCTTTAAAACAAACAAACAAACAAAGCAAAGCTGCTTTGTCACTAGCTGATGACAGAAACAAGGCAGAGACTGTTTTACAGCTTTCCTTGGAAGCCGCCCCACTCCTCTGAGTCCCCAGCTCACCTCTCTCCTCCTTTCCCAAGAAAAGTCTGAAGTGATGGCCTCGCTTAAAAGCTTTAGATTACCCTTTTCAAAGCAAGATTTCTGCTCTGAGATAGCCCTCCGCAGAGCAGAGAGGGTTAACTACCAGCAGAACGAGCCTGAAGTCCCTGCCAGGGTATCTGATGGATCCCTTTATAAGAGAATGGGGTGTTTTTTTTTTTTTTTTCAGTCTTCCAGCTCACCTTTTTATGAAGAACTTGCAGAGCTGCCAATCAACATAGCCGCAAGCCCGCATATACACACCTGAGCATCAAAACCCGAACAACCGAACCCAGGATGCCCAAACAGTTTCGGCAGAAGAGCATCTTGCATCAAAACTGGTGTGGGCAGCATGTACCATGGTAGCCCGGCACTGCTGGGCTCTGTTTACCATTTTAGCAATCTCTAAGCCTTAGCACAACCACCCTGTATTTTGACTAAAACGCAGCGAGGATGCGGTCCTCCTCTTTGCAGGCTTTCAGATTGTGCTGTACATCAAGATGGGGACAAATATTCTCTTTGCTCTTTTGGAGAGGCAAAACCTTGGGTCTGTCTTGTTAGACACCTTCAGATACAGTACCTTGTTGTCAAGGTCGAAGAGGTAAGAGTCCTCTTCACGGACGTCTGCCTCGGAATCAGATATCAGCTCACCAACATACCTGCGGACAAACAGGAAAGGAGGAAATAAGATGCTCCTGCAATCACAAGCTTGGGTTTAAACATCTTTCTGGGAAGAGGGAAAGAAAGGGATATGGCCCAGCCACAGATGGCAACCCACAGCCTTAACAGCGCAGGTCACCTCAGAGCCACCCGGACAAACTGAGCTCTGCCAACTTAGAGCAGCTAAAATCTGGCTCCAAACTCCATCTTTTCAGGGCAATACTTTTAATATTAAAAATGGATTCTTACTTCCAACAAAATTTACTTTTTCCCGAGGACTGTTTCCCTTTGCAAATCTCTTTGTTGGCCAAGATCAACATATTAATCTAATTCTCCGTACATTCACGGTCAGACTCACGCCCTGGCTCTTCTCTACACCACTGCAGTGCTTGCGCTGTTTACATCCCAGGGCAAAATGTTTGTGTCTGTCCTTCCTGTATTTTCCAGGGTATTTTGACTGATTACATGGGCTACATACCTTAAAAAGTTTTGTTTTAAAACTCCTAGGTCTAACCTAACCTGGCAGGATCCCTGGAAGGGTCTAGGCTTCTTTCTCAATCCCTCTTGAACCAGAATAAATCCGATCTGTGATGCCAGTAACAACCACCTTCTTGTAAAATCAGGTGCAAGGCAGATTACAACCAGGTCCTCCGAGCACCACGAAGCATGTGCTGCTTGGCCTGGCTCGCTGAGAAGGACTGAACACACCCCAGACAGATGCTGGTTTCGATGCAAACCCCCTTGTTGCGGGAGTCCCCGTTGCACTGGTATTCCCACATTTGTCCCCCCGTTTCCATCTTAAACAGTTTTGGACTGTCAAGGTCCAACATTTCCTGCCCTGACCTGCTTGCAATCAAAGTAAGAGGCACAAAGAAGAGAGGTACTGAGCCAGAGGGAGGATACAAGAAAGAAGCAGCAGCACAGTAGATGCTGGTATGTAAGTCTTCCCGGCCTGCAATGCAACGCTAATTAATTATAAGCAAAGGATTCACAATATGAATTAAATATTCTTTGCAGCATGGAGACTTCCATGATCAGCAGCCATTATCACAGCATTCCTCTGCAGCTCTCAAGGCATCTTCAGTGTTAACCAACCGTATCCATTTCCCCCCTGTGGCTCAAGGCAGTATTTAACTCCAGGGCTGGGGAAGAGGAGAGCCACAAAACGATAACCTGGAGAGAACCCACGCACTCCGTGACAAGGGATCATTTGGCTGCAGTTCCTAAATCCACACGATCTGGCCAGATTGCTTCGCCAAAGCAGAAGGCTGCCACCGTGTGTGATCCTCCTGCTTGCCCCCACTGCGTCTTGTTATTTATTAAAGTGCTCCTGCAAGGCTGCGGCATTACTGGAAATCACATGCTCATTGGTGACCTAAAGCAACAGGAAGATGATGGCCAGAGAGGGAGAGAAATTGCTGTAGCACGGCACAGTAGCCAGCAGCAGCCGAGAAACAGCTGAATAATGCTGCACGGAGAGGCACTCTGCTCAGGGACACCCACTTCAGGTTTACAACTCAGTGAAACAAAAAACCACAATCTAATTAAAAATTGTTGGTTTGATGTTCCTTTAAAGGCTATTCCTATAACTCATTCCTTTCCCAGGACTGCTTACAGATACAAACGGTTCCCTAACTTCCCAGGTCCAAAAAGTTACAAAAGGATGTGCAAGAGGTACGTGCTCCTACCCAAAAAAGAGCAGGAGCATCAGCCCCTTCATTTAAGGACTCCCAAAGTCAAGCCAGTGTTTTTCTCCTCAGCAAGGCGTTCAGCACGCTGATGGCAAGTAACTACATCTCAGAGCTTTACACTGCCACTCGTCACCACGAGATCAGAGCGCACTCCACGCAAAAATCAAGAGCAACAAGAAGTCCCTAGCACAGGCTCCAGCGTTTTCCACGGGGCGTGGAAACGGGGCTTGTCTGGCTGAAGGTGCGGCTAAAACGCCTGGCTTGATGCAGACGGTATCTTATTAGAGCATCATGGTTTCGTACAGAAACGAAGTATTTGAAAACGACGTCATGGATGTACACCAAAAGGAACAGACCAGATCCTCACAAACCTCTGGTTCCTGCATCCCACTAATTCACAGCCTCTCCAGTGAAAGCCCTTAACCAGCTGCGCCATTTCCAGAGCGAGCAGTTACACCGTCTACCGACCAAGCACGAACAGAGCAGATTCAAAATGACCCACAGCAACGTCAGCACAGGGTCAGCAGCAGTGACTTCTGAGCAGTGACAAATTCAGAATCACAGAATCACAGAACCACTAAGGTTGGAAAGGACCTTCAAGATCATCAAGTCCAACCGTTAACCCAACACCATCATGCCCCCTAAACCAAGTCCTGAAGTGCCACGTCCACACGTTTTTTGAACACTTCCAGAGATGGTGACTCCACCACCTCCCTGGGCAGCCTGTTCCAATGCTTGACCACTCTCTCGGTGAAGAAGTTTCTCCTAATACCTATTAGCTTTCGGAAGCCAGGGAGAGACCTGCACCGAGCACACTCCTGAGCATCTGTGACTGGAAAAGCCTAAAAACTCCCTGGGAGCGCAGCGGGGCAGGGAGGATGACACTGCTGCATCTCCCCTTGCTACGATGCTGCTTCCAGGACCACGCTGAAGGTACCAGAGGCCTTTAGCAGGAGGGTCTGGGGACCCTAAAGGGTCTGGGGAGCCCTGGAGATGATGGCAAGAGGGCTGGCTGGCTACTGTGCTCGCTCCCAGCTCGCTTCCCGCTGCCAAACCACTTTGAGTGCTGCTAAATGCTCCCTGCAGAAGCTGCTGCTGGCTGCCAGAGGGACAGGCTGCAAGCAGGAACGGAAAGGGAAACCATTTTTGGAGTGATTACAGAGAAAAGCTGAAAGGTACCTGAAGTATGGTGCAGGCTGAAAAGCAGTACGTGTGTAGGAAAGGCGATTACATGCAGAAACAGCCAGGACCAGCAGAGTTTTGCAAAATAAAAGCGTTGTGAAAAGTATTCCAGATTTGCCGCTCACGTGAGCATATGTCAAAAATTATAGAGTAACAGTCATCCTCACACCAATAATTATCATCGTTCCAAAGCAGAGTAATCATCTCCGTACAAAGCGACTACCCGCTCGGGGCTCTAATCCAGATGTTTAATGCAAAACGCTCTACCACAAGAGCCGATCCCGGCAGCTGCTGTGTGCAAGCAGCCCCCGAGCACCGCTGGCAACGGGGCTTCTTTGCCAGAGATGAGGAAAAGAAGAAAGCGAATCTTCAGGTTGCCCATAAAGAACCACAGGAAGGACATCAGTGCAGCTGGCTTGAGAAGAAGGACTGGAGCTGGTCAGTTGAGTAAATAGCGCGTGTGTGCACACGCAAGTAGTGGAGACAAGGAGGAATGTGCACGGGCAAGACATAAATTAGCTCAGTTTTTCAGTATGCAGCTCATTTAGATAACGAAGAAGATAGCGCCTACCACTGAAACAGCATCAGCAGCTCCTGGCAAGGGCGGAGGGAAGGGTTAAGCACGGTTGTGGTATCTGCACCCCGGCAGTGCCGACGCGCTCTACAACGCGCCCATCTCTGTTAATTACACCGTCGCACAGGGCTGCCCCGTTTCCTTGGGCTGCCTGTTCACTACTGCTTATTCCTCTTGCGTGTTAGCGTTCCAATAGGATTTGGGAAGGTCAGCGCCTTTTTTCTCTGGGAGCAGTTTACAGGCAGGCTCTGGCTCATCTCTGGGCGCTGAACCAGGACACAGGGACCTTCGGTACTTAACAGAAAGCCCCACCTGAAGACAGACTTAAGACACTCTCCACAAACAGCAGAGTTTTAAGCTTCACCTCTGAAAAAACATTTCATCGTCTGGCAGCTCCTAACATGGAAGAAAGACTTGGCTGGCTCACTGCAGATATGTCTTCTTTTTTTTTTTTTTTAATTCTGTAATAATCTTCCTCAATCCCCCACCCCAATTCTATAAAACATCAATAACTAGTTCTAAAAAAACCTAACACCTATTTCCATGAAGGGCACGAGTCCAGCCTTATTTAGAAGGTCTTAACTCACTATAGTATTGCAATGAGGAAAACACTTTCCAAAATATTTAGTAAAGTACATATACCAATTTAAAGCCTAAAAATTGTGGCGTTTGACTGCATTTTTTTCACTTGACATAAATCTGAACGGTTTTGTTCTTAAGTACTTTATTGAACCAGGGCTGAAACATGTGCTTAATGCCAAGTGCTTTACTGTTTTGCTGAATCAGACTAAAGCCAGAGCTGTGACACTGGAAAACCTCTTGAGAGGTCAGTATTGAAACAGAGAAAGAGCTGATATAAAAAAATTGTTCCAAATTGCCTTGGCCTTAAGCGTCCCATATCCACAGTGAACATGTGGGTTGAGCACATTTGCATCACAACCCAAATGCATTTTCCCCCATCGCTTGTGTTTCAGAGCGGTAAGAGAGCTGAGCACAGATCCCAGCAAGATGGACAGGGGTGGAGAAAGCTCCGCGCTATGAGGAAAGGGACAAACAGAGCAGGAAACGGAGTCAGGAAACCTCTGACTGAGGACAAGCAGCTCGGCTCGATGCCAATTCGATTTGCATGAAAACCTCTTCTGAAAGAGGAGCAAACCATCCCAGTCCTCAGGAAGCGATGCGTTTGCGTGCGCTAACGGAAGCTGAGTAACTTACTCGCACACGAAGGTTCCCAGTGGAATGTCTTGCATTGTTCGCACACCCCAGCCCATCTTTTGTGTCCGATAAAGCTGCAATCGAGTCCTGGAAAAGAAGAAACGAAGCAATGTTAATGGCAGCACTCCGCAGAAAGATGAGTTTTCATACAGAGATGAGCAAAACCACCAGCAACCTTCCATCACCACAAACTCAGAGATGATTTCAATTTCAACACCCCAGTTCTCACGCTGGCACCTCTGGGGGCACGCTCCACTTCTGCTGCTGCTCTGCGCCTGCGGGCAGGTGCTCAGATGGGAACAGCCTGGGGACAAGCGACGGGCGCCCATGAAGCCCCTCTCCCTGCCCAGCAGCACCTGGTGAGGCGCACATCAGGGCCTGGACACGTTAAGGACTGGGGAAGAGGGTACGGGACTGGATGCTCTGTGTGGTTACTCCGTTGATGACTTACACGTAGGATACCAGAATCCCACCACCAGCATTTCTTTTCCCTTCCACGCACACACCCGGCACTCAGGGGAAGGCAGGGAAGGTGGAAGGGGACTTAAGGCAGCGTAGCTCTGCAGGGAGGGATGCTGCAGGGGGAAGGCAGGGAGCTTACGGTGAATTAAGAACACCTTGAGCTAAGTGCTCTGATCCCTTTGCCCTCTGCTGAGGCCGGTGCATTTAGCAACTCCATCATATCCAGCTCCCTGGCTGAAAGACAAGGAAGAAGCACTGCAACTTGAAACTTCTTGGTGTAATAGCCGCTCTGTGGAATTTTACTGATGGAGTTTATAGGCAGAGAAACAATCCTGTAAGTCATTCTGCCTCCTGCTCAGCCAGAACTTGAGTTAAGTGCAGGATGAATGGTCTCCAGGGCTAGGGAAGGCTCGCTCTGTCCCTGAGGGAACCAAAACCCGCTCTCAGCAATGCTGTTATCGGAATAAAGAGAAATTCGATGCTCACCTTAACTTCACCCTGTTGCTTTTTTCAGCACATCTCTCCTCTTCCCCCCACCCACTCCCTCCTTGCACGGTCAGCTCAAACCAGGGGCCGTGCGTTTTCTCGTGTTTGCTCACAGCTCCTGGAGCCTTCACCAAGGCAAAACATGACTTTATGACAGTGATCGCTCTCAGAGAACCTGGTTATAGGACCGTGTTTCAGGCTTGAGGAAGCTCCCCCATGTTTTGCCTTGTCCATCACAGTGGAGCAGAGAGCCGAGCTCAGGTTCGGGCTCTGCTGTTGGGGCTGATACCAGCAGCAGCCGGATCACGGCTCCGATCTCAGCTTCCCAGCTGAGCTGGGTCAGCCTGCCAGATGGAAACGTGTGCACTGGCGAGTGGAGTTAATTTGGAGCAAATCTGATGAAGGGAACACCGAAAATGGAGCGGGAGCACCCATGTGTCACGCTTGGAGGTTTCCTCCGCTGCTTCCCCAGGGACCTCAAGCACAGCTCTGCCAAGCACCTGACCTTACCGCCAGCTTCCCGACAGAGCTGCCCTCCCGGACTCACAGTTGGGTTTTCCAACCCATCTTTCAGAAAAACACTTTAGCAAGGCAAAAATGCAAAAGCAACAGCTCTAGCTGTACAGCTCCTAAATAAACACCCACGTAAACACTGGAGCTCTGGAGCTTGGCAGGGAAAACCAGAGAGGGGTAAAGTTCTGTGGAAACGCATTAAGCCTCTTCCTTACTTATTTTTAACATTGCAAAATGTCATTGAAATTACAAAGCTTGCAAAAAAAGTGTTGTCAGTAGTACAAAAAATTTGCAAAAGTCTTTTTTTCCAGTGGGATTCCTTTGAAGTTTGTGCTGGTACATTTAGTGCAGTGGTGAACTCCATAGCAGAGGTCCAAAACAAAAAATTTACACTTTAGGCACTGAAATCGTAACAGCCTAATCCGCAGCACCAAAGCCAACAGGTATTCAGGTATCCAATTCAGGGGGAGTCAAGCCAACAACCTGGAAATTTTAGGCAGACAAGTCTGGGCAGGCTGGCCTATATTTCTAATATAGGCTGCTAACTTACAGTATCTTCTAAAGAAAGGCTTTGCAGTTTCTGTTGCTGTTATTCCCCTCAGAGATCTCCACCTGAGAAGTTACATCTAGGCTGCTCATGCAAACCCACAAGGCATTTATACGTTTTATGGTCAGGCTGATGAGAGAACGCCGCAGGTCCCACATGACGGCGGCAGGCGCAGGGTGCAAATACTAATTGAGCTCATCAACCCGCTGCCGCTTCATTCCCACCAGCAGCGCACAGGAACCTGCTTGCATCCCACCACTGTGTGGTGGCACCTGCCCCAACTTCTGTCTCATCTCGGGAAATCCTGGGGTTTTGGGGGTTTATGGGTGAGCTGAGACTAGAGAGCCAGAAAGCCCACAAGTTTGGTGTTGGTCTTTGCCAAGATAAGCTGCCTTTGGATCCTCCTTCTCACCTGAGCCCATTCTGCACCACCCGGTTCCTACAGGTTCGCCAGCACGAGCACGCGTGATTACACTCAAAGATCAGTGGCGGCTCAGCCATGTTGAATTCAGGCAGGAGTCGGCCGTCCTGAAGAGGAGAGGCATTCAAGATTGGGTTAGTTGCTATTCCCGTGACCCCTCCAAAACAGAGGCAGGCCAAGAGCAGAAATTCCCCCGAGCGTAAAAACAGGCCAGAGAAGGCCAAGGTGGAGGTATGCCCCGACCTCCCCAAAACCAGCATCAGTCCTCAACTTCGGCCATGGTTTTCCTCTACCCCGACAGCGGCACACTCGCCACTATCGCCGACAGCTGACAAACAGCAAGAGACTGTCTAGATTTTTGCTGCCTGGCATCACCCTACGCACCATCAAAAAGCCCCAAATCCTCCAGTGCTGTGCAAAAAAACCCTGTGTGTATCATCATTACCATCATTCTGCAGTGCTGGAGGGGAGAAGTGGATACTTAGTCTGTCTCTGGAATAAAGCCTAAACTTCCAGATTACAAGGCCAATACATCCAAGTTCTGTGAACCACATTATCTTCCCGAATAACGCTACCAAAAAGGCTACAATTTAAGCATTTACCAACCATATAGGATTAAGGAAGTAATAGACAGAGTTTATCACATTTAATAAATCTGGCTTTTAAGGCTTGAATGATGTGATCACCTATTAATGTGTAAATAAAATGGCTACAAAGCCAAGAAAGATGCCAATATTCCCCTTGGGAGAAACTTGCAGAGATTCACAGAACTTCTGATCTTAACAGAACCTGTCCAAATATTAACCTCAAAACCTCTCTGGAGGATTGAAGCATACGTACCCAGAACAAACCAGGCTTCTGGCCATGATGCAGTTAAAACATCTTTACTTTGCCTTCATCCGGAACAATGACAATAAATAAAAGCAGGCAAAAAACCTCCCTACTACTCTCCCCTTGTTTACATACTACAGCATTTTCTACGTTGCTCTGAAATGGAAGTTGACTTCACGCATGGATTATTAAATGCACTCTATCACATGGGTATAATTAACGGCTCAGTTGGCATGACAGTAACGCAAATAAATAACACTAGAAAAACTTCCCTCAGCACACATTTTGTTATTATTACATACATCTCAAAGCTGAGACTACAACATTAGGTATTTTAAAACAAAAAGTAGAGGAGTTGTGCAAGGAACTGTTTTTAAGGTACTATTAGAAACCCCAAATTGTGCAAAGTTCTGCTCGCAAACACTGGTCTAAGCCAACAGGAGGGTCTGTGTGCTCACCTTGTCATACCAGCAGCGCATACTGAGCTGGCCACACATGCAGTTACTGGAGGAGCAGTCGTCTATACATACGCAATACTAGAAGAGAAGAAAAGGGGTTAACTCCACGCCACTCACACGCAACTGAAAGAGCAACTTCTGTGACTGGGCCAGAGAGGAAACTAAAGGTCTTTGCCCTCTCCTGCTGCAGCTTGTTAGCCAGAAAGATAACCAGCCACATCGGTTCAGTGGCAGTTTTACTCCAGTATTTATTTCTGTGTGCAATGAACTTCAAAGGACTTGCAGGAACAGCTTGCAGGAAAGGATCTCATACTCAGCCATCTTCATTTCTCATGAGAGCATGTCCCCCTGTGTTACTAACCTTCCTCCATGCCCTATGAGCTGTACTCCACACTTGAGGACAAGGAAAGCTCCAAAGAGGGACCAGAGCTGGGAGATGATGCAACACAATGTCTCAGTCCTCCCCTGCTGCTTGCTTCTTCCCACACGGGTGCTCCAGCTGGCTGCTCCCCCAGCCCTCCCCAAGCCAACACCGCCCCACCACCAGCTGCTGCTCAACAGGGCTTGGGCATGGGAAGTTCGCTTCAGTCATCTGAGAGCTGTGCCCGGAGAGGGGTCACCCTCACCCTACGCTTCCCCACCTCTGCTTTCACAACCCAGTCTTTCGAGGGCTTCCAGTATCACAGTGAAGGCCTTGGCCTCATTGTCAGCAGGAAGACAGCATGAGGAAGGTCTCCCAACAACTCACTAACTCTCCAGATACAGATACAGAAAAGGATAAATGTGAGCCACATCAGCCAGCACCAGATGGCTGATGCTACAGCACACAGCTGAACACAGAGGTTAGGTTACGTCTTAGAAACGAAGAAAAGCAGAATCCCATCTCCTAGAGCAAGAGCTGGGGTTGAGAACTACATCCTGAGCTGGAATTTGATGGCAATACTGGGACTAGACATTCCCATTTTGAATGCAAAAGCCATTCTGAGGGGCAATGCAGTGCAACATCTCTGAGTGCACACACCAGGACAGGAAAACACAGATGGATACACACGATCCCTCACCTGTAAATGAGTGATGTTTCTATCAATGTCCATCGGGGAGGTGACGCAGTTCTGCGAAACATATTTGTAGTTGCTAGGACAAGGTTCGCTGTCCACTGAATTGACGCAGGGAATCGGGATCCGCTCATAACCCCGGGCGATGTCTCTGTCAGTGGGGGAAAGAATTGTCACAGAAGAAAAGCTGCCCCGAACAAGGGACCATTCAAATGCCATCCTGGGGCAGAATTACTGTCTTTGATCACTAAGCATTCAAAGCCTGAAAGCAATTCAGACTACAACAGAGTTCATTTTTTTTACACACCGCCTTACAGATTGTTCTTTGTGCTTGTGAATATTTCCATTCGGAGGATGAATTTACAAACCACGGTCTTAATCAGCATGTGCGTAGTTCTTGCCACGCTTATACTGACCTTCACACCAGTTTAAAAAGCTAAGCCTGCACTCACAGTCTTTTCTTAAACCAGGCCCCCAGCCTCCCCCGTGCAAGGGCTCTATTCCATGACCCACAAGCAAAGCCAGCCGTATTCTCACCTGCTCACGACCTTCTCTATCTGGGCAGGTTTCTCAGTAGATGATTCTTTGAGGGTCTTGTTCATCTGTAGGGCCACCCAGACCTGAGAATTAAGGCTGGAGCACTGGAGTGGAGTCTCACCCTCCTTGTTCTTTAAAGTGACATCCGAGCCACGGGAAAGAAAGAGACTGCAAAACAGCAAGAAAGGATAAGCATCCCCCAAGAGAAACCGCGCAAGGGGAAAATGAGCTGAATCACATCCTCCAGCCAGCCCTTAAGGGACAAGGAAGAATCTGTAGTAGTGAATAATCACCTGAGTTTTCTTTATTAAGCATGGTTCAGTGAATCCTTCTACGTGAAGGCGCTGGCAGAAGCCACAGACTGGAGCTCTAGGCACTCACGAGAGCTCTGGGCAAACCTCGCCTTGCTTCAGGCATGACAGGTACCTTGCTGGTACCAGCCTAACTTCAGACAGGCTTGAAACTCTCTCTGGCGGGGAAAGATATGGAGTGGGAAGAGTAGGATGGAAATGGAAGAGTCCCACAGGAAACTGGTATTGGACTTGGCCATTCTTTATACTCACCAGCTTTTGGTGAGTACACATGATGACTTTATTCATAGCAGTGATGAAGCAAAGGAAAAGCCCTGTTACCATATTATGCCACGCTAGTTGTGAAAAAAACAAAACAACCTTTAATAAAGGATGCCTGATGCCTTTCTGCTGGGAAGCCCAGGCTGGGCACAGCCCCTCAAGCCCTCTGCCCAAGACTCCAGGAGCACTCCATGTTTTCTGGTCTTTTTTACACCAGCTCTGGCAGCAGCTAGTATTTCAGACCTACCGCCCCTAGGAACCAGGCAGTGGAGAAACAAGCCCTCCATCCCAATTTTGTCTTGTGCTTAAATGCCAAAGGCATTTCAAAGGATCTCCCAAGCTTTCCAGCCGGCACCCAGGTAGAAGGGAGTGACCAGGGGAAGGGAGAGAAGCGGCAGGGCTGGAGCCGTACTTACACGACACACTCGTAGCGGTTCTCTCTGGCTGCAATATGCAGGGGCGAGTCCCCGTGAATATTCACTGCATGTAAATCACACTTAGCAGCCAGCAGTATCTCCGCTATGTCAACACAGCCAGAAAAAGCAGCCCAGTGCAAACAAATATTTTCCTCCTGGAAGGAAAGAGAACAGAGTAGAGGCTGTTTAGTGCATTAAAACCCTTTTGCTTTGGGACTTCACCACCCTTAGCTCTACACCTGCAGCATCCAACATGTCGCTTGCAGTCTCCTTCCCGACATTGCTCCTTCTGGCTGGGACTGCCAGGGTGGGCAGGGAAACCTCCGCGCAGACAAGCAGGGAGTTCTCACTCCAGCCGCCTCCGCGCAGCGAAGATGGGGAGGCTGCGCACAAAGCGGTCCATCGCCTTCCTTATACACGCAGGCAAATCGTCTGTCTCTAAGCCACAAACCAATCTGGATCAATCCACGAGAGAGGTGACAGACACAAACAAACGTGTTGGAAAAGGCTAGAAGCAGAGCATTCCCAGCCCATACAGATGGGAAAGCGAGCATATCTCCCAGTGCTACAAAATGGAAGAGAAAAAGAGCACAGCATGAGCTATAGGGTATATGAAGGTGCTAGAAAGTGAACAACGAGCCACAGGGAAAACAATCAATCTGACTTCAGGCATCTCTTAAATACTGTATGTACTTATCTCTCACTAGCAGCACCAGAAATAGCTGAACACTCATCTTTTTGATGGAGATATTTTAAGCATGATACTCTGTTTTCTGTTACAGTGCAATTTGCAGCACACTTCGAACCCTTCCCTGTGACAAGCTCTAAAGACGTCGATTACAACAGTGCAATGATAGCAATAATCACCTAACTTTTTTTTTTTTAAGCAAAAATAAAGCACATCTTTTAGTCATTGCAACTTAACTTAGATCCTTCCTTAAATGGAGAGGCTACTGATACACACCAGGGAGCAGGGGGACCTTTTTCTATATAGCTTCTGCCTCCCATTACGGCACATCTAGAAAAAAAACCCTAATCACATCACATACCAATCTACAGAAAAAATTAATCCTGCCGCTTGCACACCACATGCTGCTGCTCAGACAGGTTACAGACCCCTAGACTCGCTACTTTGCCTTGCATCGGCTACTGCCTAACAGCAGCATAATTACAATCAAAAGCATTTCTCCCAGAGTATGATGTTTCCCGGCACAAGTGACATTGCTTCTTAATGACTGCAATCAGGAGGCACCAAGCGTAGGTACAGTGAGGGATATGTGATACATACATCTGCTAAGAGGATATTTTTCTTTCAAGTAAATTGTTGACTGAGTTGATTTAATTTTCATCCTTTAATGTGTGATCTTCTAACTGGTAGCCAAAAGGCTTCTGTGACAGATGAAACAAGTCAGTTTTGTTCAGAGTCAGCGCTAGGGATCTGAAGCAATGCAACAATCCAAAAAGCCCCCTCTCTCACCTTGACTTTTGCTTTCAGGAACAGTATCAGATCTGGACTGGCCTGGGAACTATCTAAGTTACCAAGGCAATAGAGGCTCCTACCGAGAAGGGGCTTTCAGTCTGGGGATGGCGACTCCTCAGGAGCAGCTGGAGCCTTTCTGAGCCCCCTGGGACAAATTACCAACACCTACCCCTGCCAGCACCCAAGACACAAAACGAGGCATTTCGGGAACCAGATGCTTATAACCCTTGGGGTCAGAACAGCACTAGGAGCCTTGGACAAGAAAATACATTGCCATGAGGTATGCGAGAGCGTGAACTGATGGCGCAGCAGGTACTTTACTGTAGCAGCTCTGGGCAGAAAGTAGTGAAGCCTCTGACCCCTCATTTATCAAACTATCTCACATCTACAGGCCAAAGCCTGGAATAGCTCAACACACCCAACTTCACACCCAAGCTTGCCTTGCAGGTACTTTTGGGGTTTCAATATTCTTAGAGACAGAAAGGAAAAGGTGAGAAAAACACTATTAAGAAAAAACAGGAGCAGTGCTGATACAATGAGTCTCCTCAACAGAAGCGTGGATGCTCTCTCCTTTTTTCCCCAGTCATTCCCCTTGTATCTTCTCTGTTTACTTAAAAATCCCCATGAAACGGGCTGGCACAGCCCGACGCGCAGCACTGCCGGGCCCACGGAGCTCCCAAGGACTGCACCTGGAGTCAGACTCCACTCAAGTACGATTTATGGAGGTGAAAAGCAGACCAAGAGCCAGCTCCAGCACGCTGAGCCGCCAGCCGCCATGGTCTGTCCACATTGGTGGCTTTGTGCCTATAATGCCTAGGAAAAGCCAGGCTTGCGATACTTGCTGGCAGAGCGTCTGCCCAATCCATCCAGAAGACATGAGTATGAGCTTGTGCCCCTCAAAGGCATGCAGGATGCCCCTAAGCCGTGCCCAACACACACTGGCCCGTGACCAGCGTGGAGCTGGTAAGTCTGGACTCAATGGGGATCTGCCTGGTGCAGTGTCCAAGTGGCAGCACCGTGGACCCGGGTGGATTAGAAGCAGTGAGGCACAGAGCTGACTACAGCCTGCAGCATTACGTACAGCATCCTTACAGGCTATGTCAGAGGAGCTGGAGGAAAAGGTCTTCTTGCCAACTTGTAAACTTCTTCCCAGAATATGGAGGAAAATCCTCCCATCAGACAACTGCCCCAAACCACCTGTGTCAAGGGACCACTGCACCTCCCTGCACTCTGCCCAAAATCTGCCTCCTTGGGCTTGTTTGGTTTTTAAACAGAGATTGTGGCTAATTTGTGAAATGAATTCCAGGAAGAACCTCACATTGTCGCGGATGTTGATGTCTGACCCCTTTGCAAGCAGCAGCTTCACCAGCTCGATATGCTTGTACTCAGTGGCCCAGATCATCGGCGTCCAGCCTCCGTCATCCTGGGGAGGGAAGGGAAAGGAAAGGGTGAGACATGCAGAATGGGCAAGACTGTCTCCTGCTGGAGCCACAGCAGGGTGCACCTTGCCTGGGAGACAAAGACCCCTCCCCACGTCTGTCTCATCACTCTCCTACTCTCCTTTGGTCTAGGCTGCTGCAGGGAGAGGTCCCTCAGGGTTCTGCGGAGCCCAGTGCGATTTGATCCAACACGCCGCAGCAGGCTGGAGTTTATCTGCAGCTCAGCACACTGGCAACGGATCTCCAGGTCATTCAAATACAGCTGACTGTCCAAAAGGCACAACAAACATCCAGCTCGTGCACAAGCTCTTACAAAAGCTCCCTGAGAAGCCTGGGGGCTTTCCTCCAGAACGAGGAATCCCGATGCAGTGCTGCCTCACCCCAGGGCAATGGGTAAGCTCTGTGATGGCGAGTGCCAGGCTTGACCCCTGCCACGGCATGTCCATGATCCCACCCCCTGCCCTGCTAGGAGCACAGTGACAGCCTTGAGCAACAGGCTTCACCAGCAAATTCAGGGTCAAGGAGAAACTGCAAACCAAGGCACACAGAAGGGAAGTTTCCATGAGGTCAGTGGAGGGGATTGCCTTCTCTGGTGGACCAGGAAGCCCACCGCACTGTCGCCCTATGACGTTTTTCAGGTGCCCTCCAGCAGCAGGACTGTATTTGAGTAACCACTGCGTAGACAGCACACTGCCGAGGCTCGGGTCCCTGACCTGAGAAAAGCAGCTCCTGCCCCTCACAGAAAGGCCTCACCTGGCAGTTGACATCCATCTTCCCGTTGGAGAGGAGGTACTGAACAACGTCGTAGTGCCCCTTCTTGGCAGCCAAGTGCAGACACGTGGAGCCCTCCGCGTCCTGGACACAACCACAGAGCAAGCACTGAGGGAACATCCATTCCCAACATTTCCCATGTCTGCATGACACCAGTGATGCTCAAGAACAGCAAAGAACCTCACAGACAGAGCAGAAGACTCCAAAAGCCTCCAGCCCGCTGTCTGGAGGGGAGAGAGCAGCAGCAACCAGGGCCAGCGCTGAGCAGAGAGTGCTGCAGACAAAGCTCAGAGGAGCAACACATGCAGAGTAGGAGGCTAAGAGTGCAAAGGCTACGGGAAGAGACGCCTTTGTGAAGCCTAGGGAAGGTACCAACCCCAAACCCTGGCAGGCTGACGCTCCCTTTCCCTAACAGACCCTCTCCAACTCTTCTCCATGTGCTGGAGAGCCAAAGAAAGGCAGAAATCCCTTACAGAGGCAGAGCTTGCACTTCACATCAGGAAACTAGCCTTGTCTCAACCTGAAACGTTCCGTTTATACAGGTTTTTTGCTGTGTTTTATTAGCACAAGGCCTTATCCCAGCACCTTGCAGCAGGGCAAAGGAGTGTCTTGCACAGGGGCTAGGAGCCTCAAGAGACCAAGTCCCCAGCATGCCTGCAGCCGTCCGCTGAGATAAAAACCAACCGTGAAGGTTGAAATGAAAAATGCTTTTGGGAGCTGAGAATACAGGGTCTGGTGGAGATGGACAGGCTGTGAGTCATGACAGAGACACTCCCACACCAGCACCAAAGATCTCAGCAGCTGGAGCCTGATTTTTATCAGACATTTATATCGCAAGAGCTTAGCACTTAGCAAGGCCCAGAGACCAGGAAATAAGGACGAGGAAATGAAAGACTGAAAACCAAAATGACTCCTTCCAGCTAAGACCCAGGAAGCCACATCAGAGGTGAGAGCTTTCGGATGGAGCCGAGCAGAGAGCACAGAGCAGGGCTAGGGAGCAACCCTCCGAGCAAGGACGGGATGTCTCAGATCAGGGATTACACTGCGTGGGCTTCTTGGGGTAAATAAGGGGTTTCTACACCCCCAGAAGTGCCTGCTACGTCTAAATAATGCCACAGCTTTCCCTTTAGACTAGGATGAGCCAAGTGCAGCTTCTCACCCCTGCGGAGAGCAGGAATATTTTAATATAAAGTTTCTGCAAGTTTTGAGTGGGGATTTTACATTCCATTAACAGATCAACAGCTTCGCCCCGGGGTCCGAGAAGCCCCCACCCTGGCACGCCCCAGCAGCCCTGCAGCGCCTGGCACACAGTTAACGTCCAGACTTCTCATCCAAATGGCTGGAGCCGATTTTAAACTGCAATGTTGCTGCTTTCGAAAAAATGACTAATTTGGTGCAAGAAACTAATTAACATAATAAATTAGTCTAGACTTCAGACGTGATCTCAGGCTTCTAATTTGCTTTTGCAAGCTCAGGATTTTTTTCTTTCCCTTTACCTTTAGAAGAAAAAAACTCCCTTTTTTCTCTTCCACAGGAACAAATTGGGTGAGAGATATTTGGATTGCTCCAAGACACTTGGGAGAGGGGCCAGCATGAACCCACACGTGCCTGTCCTGTCCTTTCCCCCTTGCCAGCTCAGAACCTGGCTTCCATGGATCCGTTTAAGGCTCAGGGTGGGCAACACTTGGTAGCTTGTGCAATCCTCCTGGCCCTGCCAGCTCCTTCGTGAAAAGTGCGTCCCAGCCCTGCCGTACTCCCCAGCAATAGCAGAGGAGCGCGCCAACAGCAGCAGGTTGTAACAATAAGAAGTTCACACGGGGAGGGTTCCTGTGCTCCAAATAGCATCTGATTTATGGGACTAATAAACGATCTGCATAATTTCCAAGATTGCAAAGCAACCAGAGCATGCTAAAGGCAAACAGACAGCTGCATTTTATTGTATTTCTTTAAATTAAAGGGTAGAGTTTAAAGATGGGGTCCAATTTCGCCACTGCAGCGTGACTGCGAGAAACCACACTTCAGTCCTTTGGAAAGCAAAGATTCCTCTGTCATTTTTGCTGGCTTGGCAAGCAGCTAATTACTAGCCCATTTTAAAATGTCACCCCAAAATTCTCATTATTAAAGTCTGTAGAGAAGGAAACTCTGAAATCAAACTCCAAATTCACTGCCATGGATTTGTGACGCTTAGTCGCCCCATATGAAATGAAATACCCCCTACATTCGGTGCCACAAACCAATGCAGCAAGTGGCAGCACTTGCCCCAGACTGCTCACAGCCAGGACACTGCACCATTGAAATGACACTACCGACAACCACAGCCTTGCCAAACCTGCGTGCCCAAGGCAAGCAAGCCCATGTCCCTTCTGCCTGTGCACTTCCATCCGAGACTGAAAACGTATCAAGAAAGAAATGGTGGACAGGGGCTTCTTCAGGAGAAAAAGATAAAGAATAAACGGTTACCTTAGGATCTACTAGTGCTCCAGCCTTGATAAGGTATTTCACAGTTTCCAGATGGTTGTTTTCTGCTGCTTCCATCAGCGGGGTCCTCTGGTCTTCAGAGCAGGTGTCTATATTAGCACCAGCCTGTTCAGTGGCCAAGGCAAATACAAGGACAATTATAACCATTACTGGTTAGCAGAGGAAAGATGTGGGAGTAGAGATCTACTAGCAAGTTTTTTCCTGAAATTTAGCCATATTAAGCAGGAAAAAAAAAAAAAGCCAACCACCAGAACTAAAACCAGGAAAGAAGGCAGTCCAACTTCACCTGTTTTGGAAAGCAGCCCACACTGCCTGCCCTCTCTCCTGCCTTCTACAGCCAGTAACTGGGGCGTAAGGAAGGCAACAGCTCTTATTAAATAACTCTTGTCGTTAATGTATTTTGTATCAGTACTTTCTGGATATTGTTTCTGTAACAATTTGGAAAAATCAGTCTCCTCCTTTTTCCAGCAGCTTTGTTTTCCCCGGTCTATCATTTCTACTAACACAATGAACAAAACAACCAGCTCTTCCCAATGCCACAAGCACTAGGAACGATTTGCTGATTGCAACAGAGGTAGGAGCTGTAAAAAAAATCCTGGAGATTGGCTAACTATTCCTGTTGAAGTCAACAGTAACATTTCTACAGAGGTCTCTGAGCATATCCTCAGTTCAACATGGAGTGCCTTGGACCAAAATCTTACTCTTTTCCAAAACATTACCATGTCATGTATGTTGCCTGTTTTAACTCTTTGCCTTAGCTCAGTAACCCACCTAATACTTAAAACCAAAAGAAAATCTTGGAGACAGGACAATTCTTGGCAAGGCCACGCATGCATATATATGCATGAGGCACAGACCTGTTTACAGCAGCGACACGCTGACTCAGGTTCACCTGGCTCAAGAAGTTGGCCCCATTGCTTCCCGGTGCCTCCCACTGAATGCATTTGTTTTGATTACTTTTAAATAGCTACAGCTATTTAAACCAGACCAGAGAAGAGGCATTTCAAGTCTAACAAGCTGAGGACATTTCCAGCCAAATACTGTGCTGCTGCAGTAGCCAGACATCAGGGAAGAGTCAAGAAGATGAAGGATTTTGGAAACAAACCAACCCTACTGATAATTCAAACTGTTTGTAATATCTTGGAGGTTTTGCTCCTTTTACTCATACGAGTCATTCTGTTGTGTTCATGTGCAGTAACTTAAGTGAGTGAGAGCAGCAGGGTAGGCCCAGAGCTGCATCTTCACATTGCACTTTGAAAGCCTCTGACTCCAGATGCTGAAATGCAACATCCCAGCAAGCTCATTCTCAAAGACATGGCATTGCTGCTTTCTCAAAAGCCCTTTAAGGTCACACAGGGTAAACAAAACATACTTCCAGTCACTCCAGATAATGTATGCCAGTACAAAAAAAGAAAAACTATAACTTTTTAAATCCTCCCTTTTTTCTTCACATCATTTTTGAGTGGGTTCAACGAGAGCACCCCTATGTCTTTGACCATCTTCCCTCAATTAGAATCCAAATCTCAGACAACACGCCAAAACTTGAATCTTTCCTTCTTTCCTTTCCACATGCAGGACATTTACACTGCAGAGGAAAATCCTGCTGGAATCACTCAGGTTTTGACCGAAGGGAAGACAGGGTCTGCTAGCTTCCAGGATCCAGAGCCTGCCTGCCTTCGTTACAAAGAGCAACTTGGCAGCAGCTTGCAGATGACCTGCAGCCTGCCAGCGGTCAGCCCGTGCTGGCACATCTGGCAGCGCACGCTCTGCTGGGTGTGCTCAGACATATAGGTTCCCACATGCTCCACAGTGCCCTACTTCGAAGCTTCATGTGCTCATTGCCCAGACAGTGAAGCTTGCTTGGAGAACAGCCTAGAAATACAGCTTCAGTCATGCTCCCTAAGAGCTCACGTTACTCTCCACCACTCCTCCCATAGCAAACCCTAGGAATGAGGTTTTTTTGTAGAAGGGATGTTTCAGTGCTCATTTCCAAGTGTGCTTTAGCCACGTGGGGCAGGAGACCAAAAACCACAGAAAATTGCTTGGACAGAAGAACGTAAGTGGAGACAGACCTGAATCAGCATATGGCAGATGTCCACGTGGCCAGACTCGGCGGCAGCATGGAGAGGGGTTCTTTTACTCTGATGCTCCATTTTAAAATTAGGGTCAATCCCGTCCACTGAAAAACAGAGCAGAGATGCTTTCAACCATAATGCAGAGATTAGAGAAAAGCATAACAGGAGAACCAGGTCTCAGCTGAAGGCTGTCAAAGGTTTCCAGCCCATGCTCAGCCTTTCCCACGACTCGCCACACATTCAAGCCAGAAAGCTCTCGGGGTAGTCCCATGGACATTCGATATGCAACAGCCCTCAAACCAAGAGCTTCAGAAACACCATGGAATTTAATACCTTTAAGGCATTACAATTTCTACATAGGCCAGTCTCCCTCAGATTCACAATTCACCATCTCTCAGTGCAACAAAACCAACAAACACTATACAAAGATAAAAAGAAAAAAAAATGCTGCTTTGTTTAAAGCAACACAGAAGTTGGAAACAACAAAGAGTCAGTACTACCTGGCCTTTTTGTCTCACCACTATTAACTGCAATTAATATTAGCAATCCTCATTGCATCCCTGCAAACACAGGGCTACAAAGTGGATGGAGCTTCTCCAATTAACACAAGCTCAGGATCTGGCCAGAGATTCTCACAGCTGTGCAAAGACTGACAGATGATGATGACAGCCAGACAAAGATGTCTGGGCATGATAACACGTTGCATACGATAAGGCGTAGTTAAGTATCAATAAATAACATTTTTTGTGCTATTGAAGACATGAACAATGAAGCTAACACTTGCTAGAAGAAAAAAGAAGAATCTGATAAATTAAAAAAACAGAAAGCATCAAAAAATGTACTGCAAAGTACTGGAGTGGAAAGCAAATGATCCCAAGGAAACACTGTGCCCTTCAAAGGGGGAGATTCCTTGGGAATATATGTTGGTAAAAACAAGATCAGCGGCTCAAAGCCATCTGGTGACAGTCAACTGTGTACCCCAAAAACAAACCCGGTGTATTGAAGGGCTTTTCCTTTGTGCTCTCTTGCCAATGGGTCTCAGCTTAAGCTGACTCCCATCTTTTTACCTCTCTACCAGATGCCAATGCCTAACTATCCCATTGCATGGAGAGGAAAAGTTCTGTCAGACTGGAAAAATCACACATAGGTCATGTGGGGACAGAAACAACTTCTTTGGATAAAACCATTCCCAAATGCAGAAACAATTTGGAAGCAGGTCCACGTTTCACAGAAAGATGAAGCCATTTCCAACGACGCCTCACTTGAAAAAGTGGCTTTCTCCTCCAACTCCACTCACACGGGGCAGTGGGGAATACAAAGTGCTGCCATGCTGGGAACTGGACTCTGGGAGCTGCCTGGCAGGAGCTGGGAGTACTGCCAGACACGCAGTGTCCTGGGAAGGAGCCACCTACCCAACATAAGCAGGACTTTTTGCAGCTCTCCTTGCCTTGCAGAGAAGTACAACTGCTTTGGATGGAACCGTAACTTCTTGGGTCTGCAGGAGTGGGGAAAAGAGGCATAATTAATAGTTGCTGAAGAACACTCCCGGCATTTCACCCCACCTCTACCCCATGTGCATGACAAAGTCTGTTCCTATGGCATGGCTCCAGAGTGCCAGCAAAAGACAAGGACAAGTCTCCAGAAAGGAGGTCTTAAAACTTCCAACTCCAACTGCAGCCAGCCTTGCTCTAATGAGGGCTGTACCTATTCAGTGCCGCTCGTCAACTAATTCTGGGTCTTACCACTGTAAATGGGCTAGTAGCTACAGCTGTGGTTGGGGGGCCAGTGAAAAACTAAATCCTCCAAACAAATCAGGAAGACATTTAGAGCTGTAACTGTTCTCTTGACTCAGTAATCTGTCAGGGGTGAACAAATGACTGAAGCGAGCAAAAAAAGGTCCGAGTGAGGCCAAAATCTAGAGAAGCTAAACCTCAGTTCTCTCTAGGTTAAGCAACTTTGTTGGGACCTGGAGAGACCCAGTGGTCTTTTTCTTACTTTTCGGAGTCCAGGGCAATCAGGGCGCTTTCCAGAGTTTCTTTAACTGGTCCCTGCGTCAGGCTAGTAGTAGGCTTTGGAAAAACTGAAGACCCCGCTATGTCAAACCCCTCAGCAGCTGAACTTTCTGGCTTGTCTTCCTCTGAGAACCGTGTCCCAGTGCCACTGAAGAGAAAAAATGAGAGACAGCCAATGCATAACCATTAAAAATACACAACAGTGTGTATCTTATGCCAAAGAAGAAAAGGAAATGGATTTTAAATACAGGTAAGTGTAAGTGAAATTGAAACACGAACCAATATATTTTACAGCCTTTTCGGGAAGAACTTGCCCCAAAAAGGAGCTGCACTGGCCTATGAATACTTTTTGATGTACTCTGTGTTACAGGAAACCTAGGAACGTGGGGCAAGTCATAAAAGCCGCCAGAACAAGATCAGATTGGACGGGAAGTCAGAGCACTGTTCAACGCAAGGATGGTTTGATTTGTGTTTTCCTCTGCATTTTCACCTTTTCTTTATACTTGTGCTCTTTGGTGCAAGTCCGGAACTACAGCTAGGCACTGCATGAATTTCCCTGTCACCTAGCAGACCTGGCAACATCAACTCATTCCACTATTATTCCACTGCCAACAATAAGTCAAAGGAGTGGTTCTAACTCCTAAACCCCTCCTATCTTCATAGCCTCTGCCCCGGCTCACCCTGTGGTTGCCACGCTCTTCTCTGACACAGCAAGCAACGCAAAACACACTTGCAGATTCCTGCAGCTGCGTTTGGCTTGTCACAGCAGGACCTGAAAGCACTTTGCTCCATCAGGAGGAGCACAAGCCTTCAAACGCAGAGCACAGTCTGGCACAAGGTTTGAGATCACCATGTGCTCCCAAGCTCACCTCCCCGTTGTGGTGTCAGCCCTTCCCTCCACAGCTGCTGGTTTCTGCTGCTCGTAGGTCAGTGACACCGTTGAGGTTGTGTCTGCTTTTGCTATTGTCACCTCCTTTGCCTTGGAGGCCTCTTCCCCGCAGTGTGGGCAGTAGCTCATGTCGTTGACCTGGGAGGCACAGTTCTTGTGGAAACGGTGGGAGATACTGCTCTCCGGCTGACACTCCATGAAAGTGCCCTAAAAAAACCACAGAGGAGAAATTCACACCTTGGTCACTACATGCCTTACCCCTTCTACATGCTTCATCCGCAGATCTCTTAAACACTTCATTCATCACCACTCTTGTCCCTGGCGCTTCCAATACAGTAAGCAAGCACTGCCACTTCTTTAGAAGAGAACAAAACCAAGGTAACGGGGAAAAAACTCACTTGGTTAGGGACTGCAAAGCAAGTTTTTTAATTGTGATTGGGAAACAGAACCAAGAAGTCCCGATTTCCAGCTCTTTCCTCTAACGCTTGAAGTTCTTGCTTATGTTTCTAGAAGTGCCAGTGTACTGTAAGGACGCCCCCAAAACTGGAAAAGAAAACTTTAGACCTGTGGGCTGAGCCAGCATTAAAACTACCTAACAAAGCTGCGCACAAACCATTCAAGGACCCATGTGAATATAATTAAGTCAGCTGTTAACCCCAACATAACCTAAAGCATGCGACTTCTCTGCTTGGACCAGCCCCAAACGCCCCAATAAGGTGGCTGACTGCGCATTCAACAAACTTGGGCAGCTTTTCTTAAAATTATTTTCCCTTTCCAGCAAAGTCCTCTGAACTGATCTGAAGGTAGCCCAGAATTCACTGCCCTGTGATATTAGTGCTACCTGAAGCCCAACTGTGCTCTGTGTTATTAGTGATGGATAGCACAAACACTCCCAGATTCACCTGTGTGAACTATGACATGTCACTCAGTAAGAGCATGTAAGGAAAGGCTAGTTAAAACCCACTCTTCTTCTGAATTCACCGTCCTTCCAAGCAATCTAATTAACTCTATTTCAGCTTTGCAAAATGCCTTTAAGGGTTCTGAGGATTTTATCTTTTAAATGATCTTTGACTCAGGATGAAAACCCAGGATGGCTCTATTTGTTACAATAATACTTGAGACTGCTGTAGCATCTTTCATTGAGTCATCTTGAAGAACACTAGCATCAGACAATTAAGCCTCCCCATCACCCTGTGAGGCCCTCAATTGGTGTTTTTCAGCTTTACCAACAGGGAAAGTAGGACGCTGACTTAAAGGACTGGACCAGTGCTATTAAAAGCCTCAGTGGAAGAGGTGGACGAAGCAGCACATCTCAAACGGTTCCAGTTTGAGATGTTGCCTTGTTCCAGTGCCATCACTCAGGTTCCCCATCTAAACCCTCATGAGCAGGCAGGGGGACAGAACCACTCGTGTACACAGATTCATTTACAAACCAAGCTAATACAATTTTTGATGTGATTGATCTGTACAGAGAAAGGAAAAAACCCCTCGTTCCAAAGACGTTCCTAAGGCAAGACTTCCACCGTGTGAAACCCCAGTGAAAACCCTTCAGTAACATCCCTTGGGGTCTCCAGGAAGATAAAGGTGACAATTGCAGCTACCCTCGGACACATTCCTGTTGAAAACACCACCTGACATGCTGTGGAACGAGGTGGAGCTGATGCCAGGAAGTCAGTAAACCCCTTTAGGTACCATCTCCACCTTCAGCTCTTCCAGCTACTGCGACAGGTACCCCCTTCCCTAGATTGAGAGCACGGACTTACTGCAGTGCAAAAGTATCCACAGCCAGGGCAACACTGGTGTTTCACCATCCTCCCTCTATGGTCCTCACACAGCACCAAAAGCTGGACTTTGTTAGACGGGCGCATCAGTTCATACTTAACCACACTGTTTGTGCATCGGCCCAGCTGGAACAGGAGAAATTAAAGGAAATGAAATTACTGGAGACCAAAACACTCTCTGTGCTTGTGCGGAGGAAGATTTTGCACACTGCCGTGATGAGCCCTGGCTTTTTCACAGTAATTCAGATGTGTGCCAGATAGCATTAGCAGTGCAGCAGGAAGCTGTGGAAGCTGCTCTCACAGGAAGAAATGCATCATTTACTAACTAACATGCATGTGGACCCCAAGTCATTTGTTCCTTGCAAGAAAAAAAATCATAACTGGAAATAGGCAGCAGCCAAGCAGCGGCAGAAGGGGCAGTCCCATGGGCCTGACTCATGCAACGTACGCTCTCCTTTTGCCAGGA